GCCCTTCTGTTGCCGCGCTGTTGTCGCGGCGGTGATGACGCGTGGTGATGACGTCGCGGCTTTAGCGACGTGCTTATATCTCCGCAGATAAGGGCTCCGCGGTTTTGTCGTGCCACGGATTAAAAGTACAACAGATTACTGGTAGGCATGTGTCATTTGGAATGGGTTTTATTTGAAAGCAGATCACGTTGGTTCTGAATAGGGATTCCCAAAATGGAAACAGGCTACCAGCACAAGACAATCAAAGAATTTCTTGGATGGACCTTGAATTGAGAACGCTGTGATTTGTGTTCATTTTTCTGATCTGCTAAATGGACAGCAATTATAATTGTGTAGAATTATTATAGATGCAGTAGCCAAGTATTTGGACAATTGTAGGTATGAATACATGTATAAAATAATGGTGATTTGCCTGCATTGATAATGAAAAAGCGATTGACCAAATTACTACTATCTTTTATCTTGTCTTGGCAGAAATACTCCTCTGATCTAAATTGCTTAGTGGCTCTGCAAGAACTTTACAACTATATTAACAAATACTATGACCAGGTATAGTAACACATTTATTGGAACTTAGTCGTGGGGAGACATTACAGATAGTCCTTGACTTACAACAGTTCACTTAGTGACTGTACAAAGTTACAAGGTCACTGAAAAAAGTGACTTATGACCAATTTTCTCACATACGATTATTGTAGCAACCCCATGGTGACATAATTAAACTCAGGATGCTGGGCAACTGGTTCATATTTATGACAGTTGCAGTGTCTTGGGGTCATGTGATCCCCATTTGCGGTCTTTTGACAAGTGAAGTCAATGAGAAAGCCAGATTCACTTCACAACCAGTGGTGGGTTTCAACCGGTCCGCAGCGGTCCGCGCAAACTGGTTGGTCGGTGAACCCGGAAGTAAGTAACTTCTGGGAACGGCGAAGGGCCCACCTGCCCACCCGTGCTCCTTACCTGTCTTTGAAGGCTTCTGCGCTTCCACGCAGGCACATGGCACATACAGCACCTGCACGATTCTCCGCGAGCAGCTGGAGCATCGCGCAGGCGCTAAGACGCATGTGTGAACTGCGCGCACGCACGAGGACACCGCCGGCCCCGTTCCAACCGTACCGTTGGAACGGGACGAGCAACCTACCACTGTTCACAACCCTGTTACTAATTTAACAACTGAGTGATTCACTTAACAACTGTGGCAAGGAAGTTCGTAAAATTGGGCAAAGTTCACTTAACAACTGCCTCATTTAGCAACAGAAATTTTGTGGTCAGAAGTAGAGGACTACCTGTAGTTACTGTTGGTGGTGGTGGAGATAGATTGAATGCAGAAAAGGCAGCAAATTTTTTTCTGAACAGGATGAGCAGGAATTTAACTGGTTTTTGTCTGTATCTGTTTTCTGCAGATAATCAGTGCATTAGAAGAGGATCCAATGGGCCAAAAGATGCAGCTAGCATATCGACTGCAACAGATTGCAGCTCTTGTAGAGAACAAAGTGACTGACTTGTAACATTCCTAAATCAGCTGTCCACCCAGATCCAACAACACTAACTAGAAACCTAAGCATATTTAACTCAGAAGTAAATCTTCCCATGTTTTGTAATTGCTGAAGAAGGGCAAATCCTGAAAACCTATCCTGAAAATTCTCCACTCTCCATTCATCAGCAACATTTTCAGGTGCCAGGCAGCATTGCACAATCTCCCTCAGAGGCATCTAAAATAATTTAAAATGGACAACACCATTGCTTCCCTCCTTCCACCCCTAGTGCCTTAACTGCATGGATGCTATAAGGCTTTTTTGCACTTGGTGCTCATTCTGTCTGTTATTAAAAACAACAACAACAACAACTAACTGCAAAGGGTGTAATCCCTGTTTGGAACACTGGCTTTGTAAATAAAATTGGTGTATTTATTTTGGACACCCTACAAGAAGGGTGTCAATTTACAGTGTCCCCCTTTTAAGCAGTGTGTGTTAATGGGCCATTCTGTGCTGGCCACTACAGATTGGGGATTGAGGGAATTTTATCCCTTCCAGACTTCATTTCCTGCCTTATAATGCACTAATATTGCAATTGGTGATAATACCATTTTTT